AATTTTTTTTATTTCAATCATGTTTCTCTATTTTGGAATGCATCAATATTTTTACATGTTTTTTGTGTCACACAACAAATAAATCCACGTAGGTCTCAAATTCAGTAGAACCTTTATTGTTCTTCACTTATACAACCACATGCTTTACAGTCGTTAGCACTTGCAGTATTACAATGACTGCTTACAATATCTCGGCCAGTACATCTGTATCTCTTGGCGTCTGTCCCGAGACTGACTTCTTCGGCGGTTGAACTAACTATCTCAAAGTCAAAGTCAAAGTCAAAGTCACCTTGCGACTGATGGTCATTCAGTCAGTAAGTCTTGGTGTCGAGCCCCATTTGGGGCTCATGACCAGATATTAATTATTATCGTTTGACAGTTACGGTCTTGTTTCTGTGGGGCGCCTTATAGATATGTATGTTTATAGATATGGGATCTTTAGTGGTATATTCTTGAAGGTTGAATATTTTAATTTAATATTAATTGCTTATTCAGATAAATACATGACTTTCTTACAGTGATCAAAGTATTCCTCGCCTGGGCCAGATGATTACTGACTATGATCCACCCATTAAGAAGCTGTCAGAAGAATTTGTGCCCCATGCCAAACTGCTCATTACAGCACTTGTGTCCTTGTGTCCAATTTATGGCAACAGAAATCTTTCTGCAGAAAAATGGAGGTAAGCAATAGAAACATAATTTTGAAATGATGTTAGCATAGTCTGCAATTTAGAATGCTGAGATTCACACTGCAATGGTACATGCTTTTAATGATCTTTTTTCTTCTAATTCTTTACAGATCAGACCAAAGACTTAGTTTGGCTGGAAACCCAGGCCAGCTACTGAAACCATCACAGACACCCACAATGTCTTGTGAATACCTGTCACTTGATACAATGGAGAGGTGGATAATATGTAAGTGTTCTCAGTATTTGCTTCTTTGAAGCATGAAGTTGATATTCTGCTTGCATAATATTGTGCAAAGATTTGAGACGATATTTTTTTTTGCTAGTAGGGTAAGACTAAGTCTCTTGTACTGTGGCCACTTCTGGCCTATTGTACCAG